GTGCGTTTTGGGAGCTTCCTGGCGCTGTTTACAACAGTGTTGACCACCCTGGCAGGATTTTGGGGACTCTCAAGCATTGCTATTTTGGTAAGGTAAAAATCTTCCTGTCTTTAATTGCCTTGTAAATTGCAAACTAATGAACCCAGCCTGATTAAGCCCGATGAGCGAATGGAAGGTGAACTTCTGCAAAATAAAACTGCTCAAGTAGCAATGATAGTAAAACCGAACAGCAAAAGAACTTGCTATCTCTTTCCCCCAGGCCAGTAGTGGCAGCACAAAACTGCCCCTTGTAGATTAACGTTAACTGCAGAAAACCTGGAAACTGAATTACATGTGACATGAGGTGCCGTTATTAGATCTGGTGAGGTGAGGTAAGGTATTGCTGTTCTGAATTCTCCCTCTACGCGCAGCAAAACAAAACTCAGGTACATTTAATGGAGAGGGAAAAAACCAATAAAACTGAATTTGAATACATAACAAATTTATTTAGGTAAATAAGCCACGCTGTTTGCATGAGGTATAAATGTAATGGTAAGTAGAATAATAATTTTATCTGCAAACAAAGGACAGATATGCATTAGGTAAGAGCTGTAAATATTTTGAACTCCTCATAGAGTTGTTGTTCTATCCAGTACATTGAGAATTCATATAATAGTCTCCCAAAGGTAGCTTGTCCGCCTAATATGGGTATTTTGGAACTGGAATAGAAGTATTTTAGAGTGAGTTGTCATAGACCTAACTACCTTCTAAAATGTTTGGCTACTAAAAACCAACAAAACTAAACAAAAATCCCTGGCTTTTACCATCAGAGCAGAAGATTGGGAGCGGGCTCTCATTTCAGGCTTGCTGTATGGCCTTGGATAAAGTCACTTGAAGTCATCTTTTTTCAAAGTCTCTCACTGATAATCTGAAGTATGGAGTTTCACGTTGTCATGCTGATTTGTTGTTTTTATGTTTTTAATAAGTTTCTGTAAGTTCAATAGGAGTAAAACTTGCTTGGTTTTCTGTAGGGGTTGGACTTGATTAGCTTAGCCATTATTTCTAATGCTTTATAAAATGTTATGGCAAACCTTTTTTTCTTGTTTTTTTTTTTTTTCCCCTGCCATTATAAAGGATGGAATCTCTGTTCTGTTTTTTCCTTCTCTCTCTTTCTCCATAAACTCTATCTATTGATGACCTGAATGTCTTTCCCTTTTATAGATGTCATCTGGGTGATCCTCAGCGTGGAGGTTGGAGGACTTCTAGGAGTAACACAGCAGCTGTCATCCTTTGAAACAGAGTTCAACACACAACCACATCGCAAGGTAGAAGGAAACTTTAACCCATTCGCCTCTCCACAGAAGAACAGGCAACCAGATGAAAACAACCTAAAAGACCCTGGGGGTTCCGAGCTAGGCACAATCAGCAAAAACACATGGGGGCCTGCTCCTGACCAAATCGAACAAGATCAGAATGGACTGTCACAAAACTCTGTAAATCTCTCCCCCAGCAGTCACTCGAACAACTTGTCGGTAGTGACGTACAGTAAGGTAGGTGCCCTGGGAGAACAGGAGAATGGGTAGATGATGAGACTGTGATGTATGTGTAATAGTTCTTCGTTACAAACTGCAAAGCCCTTCCCTTCTGCTTCTGCCAGACCTGCTAAGGAAGGTTTTGAATTTGACTGTCTGACTCTGCCAACTCCTCATATTACATTACAATACCTTTGCCTCTGATAGACTCTACCAGATCCACCTTTTTGTTTTTGCTTCAAATCCTTCTTAAAGTTTATATAATCTTGTCTGGGTGCTGTAACTATTAGTGGCTGGAGCCTACTCCAGTCACGTGTGCAAATAAGTCAAAATATCTCTCTAGCTGCGCTCCTGAGTTTTACATAAAAAAGGATTTAAAAAATATCACCCTCCCAAAACCTAAGATGAATCAGATAACTTCTTTTTAACTGGTCTGGAGAGACTACAGAGCTCAACATTTTGATCCCAGAAGCTATCTGTCAGGAATAGTCAATCAAAGGATTATTCCTGTCTGTGTCCTTGTCTTGTTTATAATTGTAGGTGACTTTTAAATTATCCTTACTTTAAATCTCTCTCAAAAAGCTCGCTTGATGAATGCTATATGAGTCTGAGTGATATTTTGACTGTTTTTATTTGCTTGTGTGTGAAAATTGAATTGCAGGATTATTTACAACTCAGAATCCACCTGTTAATGCAGCCAGTTTGTGTAGGTGTGTACTGTCGTATGTCAAAATAGTTTAATTTTAAAATCCCTTAAAAATGCTTTACTGTACTTTAAGCAGGCTGTGTAGGACAATAACACTTGGTTGCTGAATGACTTAATAAAGCCCTGATGTTAGTTCACCTACAGCACTATAGTTCCTAACTGGATGAACTGCCTGTCCTATGTCAATGGATCATATTTTGGTGTCCTACTTTGTATCAGGGCTGTGCTTTTTTTTTTTTTTTAAACTCATGGCGTGTGTGGGAATGACTGTTTGGCAGGCTACCAATCACCCTTTACATGTTTTGCACTTCAAGCATCAACTTTTGTAAGCTGTGTTGGCTCCTGCTTCAAGATTCTCAGTCATTAAAAATCAGATGAACGGCTTAGGAAATTGGTAGAAATAAAGCCTTTCACCTATCAAATACAATCTAAATCGGCCAGAGACTGAAAGTCACTGCCGTTTAACAGTTGCTTGGTGGATAGCAGTGCACACTTTCATAGCAGTGATCTCTTCAGAGACCATCCTCTGGCCTGGCAGAGGCCATATGTATTCTGATGTAGCTTCTCTACGTTAAAAGATTATTTCAGTCAGGTGCTTCATGTGGGGAATGCTGCTGTGCTGTTGTCTGTCATACATGTCCAAGCAAAGATTGGTTAACAGCTCTATTTGTGCATCAGTCAGTGAAAACAAGATAAAGTAAAAATGAGATACTAAGTATAGCTTTGAGATAGTGGACTAACTAGCCTTTCATTGCTAAAATACAGCCTTTCATAACTAAACTACTGGGTTTAATTTAGGTAGGAATACTCAGTTCCAGTTTGGGTGGTGAGCTTTAGGCTGGGCTTGGCTTTTTTCACTTGCTTGTTTCCTGTGGGTGCAGAACCTGGCAGTTGCTTCATAGTTGATTTGCACTTGCAGGTGGATGGACGTGGAACTGCTAAGATAGGCGCTTCTGAAAAAAGATCCTGCACAAAAATTCTGGATGTGGGGTTTTGGCAGTAATGCGGCCTTCAGTTTTCACTAGGTCTCTTTCCGTGTAGTAAATTTCCTTACCCTTCCTAGTGAAATGAGTGCTGTGGGTACTAAAAGGTCGAGTGTATCAACAGACTGGCTGCAGAGGATTAGAATACTATATCTTTTGAAGGAACATAGGTGTAAGAAACCTGTACCTGTTGGAGATGCAGAGGACATAGCAAATGTCAGCTATACCACAGAGGAGAAAAGCCAAAAGGAGACTGAAGCACTGCTAAGGATGATAATTTCACTAAGTGTATGTAAGCTGGTCTAGCTAGTAATCCAGAGTTCTTGATCAGAACTCTTATGTTGTGAGTCATTGTAGTTTAGCCTCAGATGTAGGGTAGGTGACCTTCTTTCTCTTGCTTTTTGTTCCTTTTTGTATTACAGAATGCTTTTTGGTGGTTTTGAGGGTAGACTGTCTGAGACAAAAGCAGAAATTGTGTTCCTTTCTTGCTTCAGAAGGGATAATTTGATGGTCCTTTTGGGAGAGGAGGGGGAGTTGGTAAAGGTTTGTTCATTTACTGTACCACTATGTTTCTATTTGTGACAAAATAAAACAAGTTAGTTTTTGCTTTGGGGGACATTATTCAGGTAGTTCTGAAGGTCAGGGTCCTTTGTCCAGCAAGTATACCTTGCCTGGTCCATCCAGGGCAGGACGAATTCTGCCACTTAAACTTGATATTCACATTGATACAATATTTGTGACTGGTTTCTGTAGAGTGAACAAGTTCAAGTAAGTTTAATCTCCTGAACACTTGGTCTCATTTAAAATTGCCAGGTGAACATGCTCACCTTCCATGGTTTAGATCTAGCACTATTATAAGCCTTCTTCCTGCAAGCTGCAAGTCTTTCTGGAAAATAAGATTTCTTTTTTTCCTCTCCCCTTTCCCTCCCCAGCTAGGTCTCTCTCTTAGATTAACTGGAGAAGAAGGGCTTACTGGGGGCGACTTCAGAAGTATTAAACCACCTGAGCAGCAGATGGTGTTCAGGTACCTGTTGGTAAAAGCTGTATCCTACCATCTGCTTAAGCCGTTCAGTCTCCCCCACTTCCACAGGGGCTGGATCTGTGCTCTGCTGCTTGAGGGTGAAAGGAAACTGCTGCTTTAGAGCTGTTGCCTTATGACATAACGTTGACAGGGAAGGCTTTATTTCAGGTTCTAGGAGCAGATAAACTACATAACCAGATGAGCTGGTTATGTAGTTACACATTAGGATACCTGGATTTTATTTCCTTTGGGCAGAACCCTTAGTACTTGTGTCTGTTTTCACGCACCCAGCAAACGGAGTGGATACCTAGTCATGTTTAACAAAGCGTTTGGTGAGGTGCAGCAAAGGGGGATGGGTAAGGTTTAGTTAAGACATTCAGAAGGGCCTACATCCCATATTTAAAAGTAATATAAGCCCTTAAATGTTTCTCAGATCATCGTTGGGGCTTCCTCCCTGCCAAGAGGTCTTGGAGAAGCCCAACCATGTAGTTGCATGAGACTATGAAATCTTTGAGACAAAACTAGTAGTTTCTGGCATCTTAAGAGCCAGTGGCAAGCTGCAGCTGTATAACACACTAGAAGTTGCCAAGTCTTGTCTGTATTAGTTCTCCCTCTGGTCCAACTGAGCAGGTGTGACTTGTCCTCTAAAATTCCCCAGTCGAGTCAGGGTTTCTGTGATACTGACATGCCATCTGCTGCTGAGTTAGACAAGTATATTAATGTTTCACATGTGAAACATTCAGAGTGCTTTCCTACAGAAGTATAGGGAATGTGATGTGGATGCTGCGCTCAGTGAAATAAACTTTCTTTTGGAGGAGAAAAAAAAAAAAAAGCTGAATTCCCTATAAAGAGATAGGATTAAACCTGTGACATAGTCAA